CCCATTTCCATGGTTTCTCAACTAGTTAACATGAGTTATTATACATTCCACCATATTGCTGCGTGTGACTACGTGTGAAAGGAACTCGCCAGGTTCAACTCTTTCTCGAGGCTACGCTTTGACTTTTTTCGATGCTTACTTGACGGGGATATTTTTTTCCTGGCAATGCCACTTTTGAGTTTGTCAACGACATCGCGTTTTTCTCGCCGTCAAACAAATACTTGGCCCGCTTCTAGACCTCTGTTCATTAAAAAAAGCGGAAGACTACAGCACAAGAAAAGTCGTCTGGCTCGAATGTACCTTAGTTTATGATCATGAGACTCTAGGCTCCAGTCGACCTGAACCATTCCATGCAGACGACCGCTCCAAAAGTCGTTTCGGGAGAAAAGTTGCTTTTTTATCTCCCAGCACCTGATGTTTATCAAGACTTTCATCAGAAACAATAACCCAGTCATTCAAACTCATACCTGTACGGAGGAGAAAGACTAGAGCTTGAGCAGTAGAGGTGGCTCCGGCTCTTTTTTCTCCTCGGATTGCTGAGTGGCGAGGTTCCGTAAACTCGGCTGGAACATCGCCCCTGCAACGTCTGGCGGCGGCTCGCCATCGCCTGGAAGAGATAGAAGTCCTTTCTGCCTCAAGACGGACGGCTGGCCAAAGCAATCTCTCCAAAGCGTGTCCAGCAAGACGCCTTCGTCTCTCATCGGGGCCAGATCCTCCGGTTTCATGTCCTGCAGGCTGCTCATACGCTCATTGAGGAAATCCTTCAAGCCCTTGTGGTCGCTTCCCCACGACAGTGACGACGCTTTGTCGTTGTGAGACACGTCCACCATGGCTTGCAAGGCCTCCTCTCTGATATCCGCGTCGTTGCTGCGTGCTAGCTTCGTCAAGAGGGGTGGAAAACCCAGCTCTGCTGCCGTGACGTTGTCTTTGGGATTGTCTTGAAGCAAGTAGTGCATGACTTGCAATGCTTTCCTGAAACAACACGCATCAGTGACGTGAGAATGTATATTAAAAAGTTTTACCTTTGCAACCGGGAATGATCAGACGACAGAGCTTCCTTGAGCTGGCCAAATCCGTTTGCCAGACGAAACGCGTTGGTACCAAGTTTGTTATTTCGGATTAGAGCTGCATAAATCCCGCAATATAAGCTCCGGTTCAAACTTAGACAAACAAAAAGCTCACAAGAAATCGCTCCCAGTGCTTTGGCACGCACATTCACGTCAGGGTCGGAGCTGAAGGTGTTGAGCAACGCCTCCATCCCTTTGTGCTCCATCACGTCGTTCTGGCTCTTTGGATTGTTTTGCACCACCGTGCTCAGAACCTCGGCAGCTCTTGCACGAATCGGAGCGTACTCGTCTTGCAGAAGCCCGATCAGAGGATTTAATCCTCCCACGGCCTTCAGGTCTATTCAATTCAACTGTTGGTACAAAATCAAATAGTCGTGGAAAACTGCTTACCGTTTGCCATGTCGATAGATTCTACGTGATCCTGAAGCTCCTCGAGCACACCTTCAAAATCAAAGAGAAAAAAGTGATAAGTTTTTCGTGCGTAGAAAATCCGAGAAGGCAAAGAACTAACCTTCAATGTCTTGAGACGAGACTCCTTGCTCCTCTAAAACCTGGCGAGGAGTTTGCAAGACGAGACTTATCTCCTTCATACGTTTCACAATATCCACACTGTTGGCTTGCATCGCTTCCATGAACCATTTCCTATCCTCCTCACTGCAGTAGCCAGAACAGTAAGAACATCCAGACAACAGTAGGAAGAGCAAATTTCATCGCTGCCATACCTGAGCTCCTTCTTCGGATCTTGCGACTGGTTGCCGGGATCGCTGCGCGACAAGCTCCACTTGAGGAGACCCGGCCAATCCGGCTGCCCAGATACCTTCATCGCATTCACCGGCACAGCGTCTTCCTCCTCGCTCTTCCCTCGATCCGCCATAGCTCCAGGCAAGACCTAGTAACAGAGCCCTAAATAGATTTCTTTCGGAATCTTCAGGTTTCTTCCGGTATCTTCTAGAATCTTTCGCATTAACAAGGTTTTATGTTAAGGGGATGTAGCTCAGATGGTAGAGCGCTCGCTTAGCATGCGAGAGGTACCGGGATCGATACCCGGCATCTCCAGAGGGGCGTCTATTATTTTCCTAGTAGATGACACTCGTATTTTCGGTATATTCTCTTCTTTGTTTTTAGCGTGGCGAGATCGAAGCTCCGTCATGGCCGCGGCGAGGCGGAGGACTCTCTTCTCGGATTCGGCATCGTCGTCGTCGCTGGAGAAGCTGATCCAGGAATCCACAGAATCGGAGGGTAGCAGCATCAGCCTCAGCGCCAGATCGTCGCACGGATCGTCCTCGGCGGATGATCTCGACACGGCCGATCTGCGCCGCCGCGGCTCCATCGTCAGCTCCTCCTGGTCGTTCGAAGGTGAGAGGGATTGCGGCGAGAGGAGGAGGGGGAAGAACGCGACGAACAGGAAGAGCAAGAAGGACATTTTGGGGGAAATCGATGGGGATGATGCCGAGCACAGTAATGTGGGCCGATGCGTCGCTGGATGCGCCGCGGATTGCACAGCGCTGTGCTGCTGCCCTCTCACGCTCTTTCACGTCGTTGCGCTGCTCGTCGTCAAGGTCCCCTCCACCATCGCCGCCAAGATCTCTAGGTCCTGGAAGGGAAAGAAGAAGAAGGCCAAGAATCGATGCTCTCCTCAGCGCAAGCTTGTGTTGAGAGGGGATTCGGGGAGCTCCACTTCGAGAATTCCAGCCGCCGCAAGCATGCCATCATCGCCGCCACATCTATCGCCTAGTTCTTCGCCGCTGCCTCCACCGCCTTCCATTCAAGGCTTTGGCCAGCATTTCTGGAGAGAATTTGGATCTGGGCACTCGAGCTTCGCTAGCCCCTGACTGGTAGCTCGCGGGGAAATAAGTGGGATTCCAGGGAAGGGTTTCGTTCACGCTGGTGTGATCGATCGATCGACCGCTGGAATTTGGTGAATCTCTTCACGGCAAAGCTGGATCGATCGAAGCCTCTGCTTTACTGTTTGCCAAAAGCCTAAACGATCTCTCCAATCTGTACATAGTTTCGTTGAATGGGTCGGTCGGTTACATTAATATTCTCCTCGAGGTTCGTGAAAATTTCTATTCTTTCTTAAAACAAGTGATTTGTGTGGAAGGCTGTGCTTCCAGAAGGAGGAGATCTGATCAATCAGGTCAGAAGAGATCAATCAGATCGCATCCAAGCTTGTTGGTTGTTTTTTTTTACCGCTGTCGTGTGCCTGTCATCCCATTCATCTCAGCAAAGCACGTAAAAAGTTACACTGTAGATCAAGCTGCAGGATTCTCTAGCACTGTCCAGAAAAAGAGCTTGTCCAATCATAACAAATAGCTGACAAGGGATGGATCATTCACAAGATATATTCACTCAACCAAAAAGCTGCCAATTCGAGCTGGAGATTTAAATTATACAAAATTGTTGGTTTGCATGGGTTGAGAATATTTTAAAGATATTCTTATTTATAGTTGAGATCTAAAACACTTATATATACACGAGTACTTGCCCAGCAAATGCTGGGCGGTTTACAAAGAGGTTCAATATAAAACCTCTTTATAGACAATGTTAATTGTAAAAATAGAAGGATCTTGAGGAAAGAGGTGGCCTTGGCATGTGGTGTTTTGAACTTTAATTCCAAGTCCATGTGGTGATGTACATCTTGATAAAGCCACGTAAAGTTGTCCATGAGTGAAAACTGGGTGGGGCAAGTAAACTTCAACTCGGTCAAATGTTTGTCCTTGGCATTTGGAGATTGTTAAACAGTAACCCAAACAAATTGGAAATTGTCGTCTGGACATTTTGAATGGAATTTCTGTATTTGATGGTATTAGTGTAATACGTGGGATAAAAACTCTTGTCCCTTTAAATTGCCCCATCACAATTTCACAATCTAAAACATTTGGTAGTGCATTTTTCAGGATGAGACGTGTACCATTGCATAATCCTGTTGATGGAGACATATTTCTTAGGAGGATAAGAATAACACCTTGTTTGAGAGAGAGTTTATGTGGTGGGAGACCAGAAGGTGTGATAGAATTTAGGAATTCTGTTGGAAAATTTTCAGGATGTTCAGTGTCAACAAAATCAATGCTTTTGTAGATGTATGTATCACCTTGTAATCTAGAGACAATAGTGTTGTTGAGTGCAAATGTATCATCGTTAAGTGGGGTAAGTATGACTCGGTTGGCTGCAATATAAGGGTTTGAAATATCAAATACTGAAGGGTAGACAAAATCAATAATTGATGAATAAATTAGTTGTGTATGAGGTAATAAAATGGAGTTAGAAGGTAAAGATGGTAAATTTTCAAAATTTTCACCATTTCCAACTTTGAGAAGCCATTCAGACCATGATTTATCACTTTCAGCAAGCCGCATATTTGTTTTCAAAGATAACTTTCTAAATAATCTCCATAATTTATTCATTCTTACAGAATTTGAAACAATTTGTGCTCTATGTCCATGTGGAATGACTAGAAGTGTTTGTCTAAAGTCCCCGTTAGTAACAACAATTATGCCACCAAAAGGTAATGATGTATTTTTTAGGTCTCGCAACACTCAATCAACAGCAGTGAATGCATGAGTGTGAACCATACTTATTTCATCCCATAACAATACATTAGTAGTTTTGATTTTTATACCTGCTTCACTATTAGCAGTTGTAGCGGAAGTTGATGTTTCATTTATTGGAACAGGAAGTTTAAAAGTAGTATGTGAAGTTCGGCCATTATAAAGTAAAGTACTTGCAATTCCTGTCCAAGCCATGCTAACAACATTTATTTTTTTCAGTTGTAAAATATTTATAAGAGTGTTAAGAAGAAGTGTTTTACCAGTACCACCAGGACCATCAATGAAAATGTATCGATTATGCTCAGTTGGGTGATCAATAATATTAAGAATATCATTAAAAATATTTAATTATTCTTGATTAAATCGAGGAATATTTTGTTCAACATTTTGATATATTTGTGTTGAGTTGACAATATTTTCATCATCAAAATTTTCAGACGGCATAGGTAGATGATAGTTTTGATTAGTTTTGCCATGCATTTTCATTTTAATATTTATATCATGTAAAGCATGTTCATAATGAAAAATTGGATTTGTTTGCATGAAATCCTCAGAGAGGAAGTCTTTAAATTTATCCCACAGGAGGTAAGGATCTTTTGGAGTGCAAAAGATACAAAGTAATACAAATAATTGTTTTAATTGTGATGGCATTCTAAAAAAGCAAGCATCTTCTAAACATTTTTCCCATTCGGTATCATCAGCTATAAGCCCCATTGCATCTGCAACTTGTTGAAATGTGTTATAATAAATATTGTTAACTGTCTTGAGATCTTTGAAAGATGTAGCACCTTTTTTATGGAGTAAAATAAGACGTAAATGATATAGTTCAACATTAGATGGCGACACAGAATACATTCGAGGAATGACATTTCTTGTATGGCGAATTTGCCAGTTATGAGTATGAGGGTTAAATGTATAATATAAAGGGATTTCAGGATATGTATATTGTCTAGCATTTGGGTCATTTATATTTAATTCAAACCATTTTGTCAACATCGTACCATTTTGAGTAGCTCTTTGAAGTGCTATTTGTTCAGAACCTTCTATAAAATAGACGTTTTGAAAATTTGGAAGATGGATAGGAAGACGGATTCTAGGGGTCGAAAGACCATGCATTTTAAATTTAAAAAGTCTCCATATTGCCTATGGGGCAGATACATAACGTGTATTTAAAAATGTTGAGATTTCATCCCAATTTAAAATATTATCAGGTTGTTGGGTTGTTGAATGGATTTCAATTGTAGCACAATCATAACCTTTATAAACATATTGAAATAAATACTTAATACTTTTTATAGTAGCACAAATTTCAATATTAATATGAGCATTATATTTTTTACAAAGGTATTTATTATAAGGCACTACCCAACGATTATCAATATAACACCCATTTTTTAGAAATGTGCGGCCATTATCAGGTCTATAATAATCTGGATATCCATCAACACTAAAAGTAGTTCATAATTAAATTTTTTTGGATAACCTTGTGAGCAAGTGCCATTTTCCATGCAAAGACTATTAGGGTAAAGAGGCCCACATAGACCATGTATCATATGAGATGTAATTATTTTTGAAATTTCAGGTTCCTTTTGAGGATCAAGCAATTGTGCCGTTATGTATTGGTCAATAGCATCACGGTCTTTAATCTTGTTTTCATGAGATAAAATCCCTAGAAAGTGACAATGTGGAAGGCCTCTCTTTTGAAATTCAATTACATATATAAAAGCAATACAATTTCCAAAAATATGTTTTTTAGTAATATCATTCAAAAATTCTTTAAGTTTGATATGAAATACTCTAGAAACCAAGTCTGGACGATCCTCAGGGCTTTCATTTGGATGTAAGTTTTTAGAAATTTCTGGCCATTTGGGATTGCATGTAAAAGTAATGAAAAGATCTGGCTTTGAAAAATGAGTAACTATAGCCATTGCATCTTGATAATTTTGTTGCATTGCTCTAGGGCCACCCCCAAAACTTGAAGGTAAAATAACAATCTTGTCTGGATTTATATTTTCATTAGTAGCACGGTTTGCAACATAATCCATAAGACCAGTATACATTTCAACTCGCAATTGTTTTTGATGAGTGCAATAGTAATTCAAATTATTGCTTTCAACTTTTACATAAGCATCGACAATATATTGTTGTGTGAATTTTCCTGCATGTAAAATTTGATCAAAACCAAAGCGTATTGTGTCTCTTATAAATAAACGGTATGTATAATATTGGAGCAATGTAATTCGACGTCTAGAATTAAAAATATTTTCATGCCAACCTCTATCACCAAAAGGAAATATTAATGGGTAAACCATTGGATCACAATTATTATCAAGTGTTGAGATACATTTAGAATTGCTTGCAGTTGGATATATACAAATTTCACGACTATGTGGCGGTTCTCCATCATCACTAACAAATACAACAGCAACATCATTTGTCCGTGGAGCATTATAGCGTTGTGGATTAGTTCTTTCAGTTTTTAATAACATGTAAACACCACGTATAGGATAACTTGAAAGCGTAGCAGAACGAATTTCTTCTTGTTCCATTTCATACATCATTTTGAAAACTTGAGCATATGGGTTAACATGACGAAGGAGAGCATCAAGATGTTTAAGTAAGTTTGTCTCACAACTTGAATTAAAAGGGTTTTGCTTTCTTATATTTGTAGCTTCTAGAGTATCAAGCATATAAAGTTGTCCATAAGTTCGATATTGACCTTCAGAAGGATGTGCTGAAACAATATTATGATATATTTGACCATGGATTTTAAAGCAATAAGGACCATGACCTTTTACAATATCAATATTAGAAGACATAGATGCAAAAGCAAGAGCACTATTGTAGTGTCTAATATTTGTTTTAAAATTAGAGTTCTTATTTTGCTTGTAAAGTGAAAGTAAATCAAATGGTAAGGGTGAAATTGGAGGTAATATAACTTGGTTATTCTGGCAACACATTGAAGAGTTTTCATCTTTAAAATGCAATGCATTACAAAAAGTACAAACAAATGATAAACTACCAATATTAAAATTTATTATGTTAAAGTCATTATAGATGCTATGGCTTGCTAATGTGGTATTCATGGGTGGGGGTGGTGGATTTAATATTGCTTGATATATGTAATTGTCATAATGACATGCATGTAAGGTTCCAGATGCTTCTGAGTGTCCAACTGATTGCTGTATATAGTCATTATCATGATTAATATTTAGGTGTATAGAATCATTATCATGATTATTTTGAACAGCTATAGTATGTGTATCATGATCAATCATAGTTTCAAAGGCATCTAAATCTCCATTAGGTTGTTTACTATGTCGTATGGTTCTCAAAAGATGGCGGAGGCGAGGCATTTTCAGTCACTTCAATTATAGGTTTGATAATATATATATTTTAATTGAGTTTGTATAGAAATTTATGCAGAATAGAAATGCAGACTACAGTTGGATATATATAAATTTCACAACTATGTAATGATCTGAAAGGAAAATATTAGACTTTTGCAAAGCACACTCAAGAACAACAAAATAACTCCAATGTTGTGTTTACCAATCTTTGGTAGCTCTCCAAGATTTCCAATGTATAGTCTGGACTTTGGATGGGGGAAACCAGCCTGTTCGACACGCTGTTCGACACGCTACGAAGTTGTGGAACGGCTTCTGCTTCTACGACCCGTCACCGAGAGGTGGGAAAGCCATTGAAGTCACAGTGTTCCTTCCTCCTGAAACAATGGCAAAGTTCAGTGAGAAAGTCAAAACGAATTAATCCTGTGTACCACCTTACGTGTTAATATCCAGAGTCCATCGTCTCGTCTGCTTGTGTGACATGACTTGACTCCAATCAATCCGTGCGTGCTTTTTAGAATATAATATCCCCGAGCCTCTAGGAGTCCC